CCCCCCCCCCCCCCCCCCCCCCCCCCCCCCGGGTTAATCTTTTGAACCCACCGAGGCCCCCAAGACCCCCCATCCCCCCCCCCCAAAACCCCCCCCAAACCCCCCCCCCCCCCCCCCCCCCCCCGGTTCATCATCTGTCAAACACCCCCTGAGGACCCCCAAAGCCCCCCTCCCCCCCCCCCCAGGTCTCATCACTGTCAGAGGCCCCCATGAGGACCCCCAAGCCCCCCCATCCCCCCCCCCCCCCCAGGTCTCATCATCTTCGGAGCGCCACCCATGAGGACCACCTCCTAGAGCTGCCAGCCTCCTCCGCAGCAGCATCAAACCAGCCCCCCCATCACCCCCCCCCACGTCTCATACATCTGTCATGTAGCGCCACCATGAGGACCCCCATAGCCCCATCCCCCCCCCCCCAGGTCACATCAACTCTGTCAGAACGCCACCAAGGAGGACCCCCCAAGCCCCCCATCCCCCCCCAGGTCCCATCAGGTCTGTCATCATCTGCCACCATGAGGAAGACCCGCCAGAGCTGCTTGAGGACTCCCTTGCAGCTCAGCCCCCCCATCACCCCCCTCACCAGGTCTCATAAATCTGCAGAGCGCGCACCATGAGGACCCCCAAGCCCCCCATCTACCCCCCGCCCCAGGTCACATCATCTGTCAGAACGCCACCCATGAGGACCCACTGAGCTGCTTCAGCCTCCTCCTGCCAGCCCCCCATCCCCCCCCCCCCCCCAGGTCTCATCATCTGTCCAGAAACGCCACCATGAGGACCCCCAAGCCCCCCATCCCCCCCCCCCCCAGGTCTCCATCATCCTGCCAGAACGCCACTCATGATGACCCCCAGAGCCCCAATCCCCCGCCGCCCAGGTCTCATCATCTGTCCAGAACGCCACCATGAAGAACCCCCAGAGCTGCGTCAGCCTCTCCTGCATGCCCCCCATCTCCCCCTAATCCCCCCCCCAGGTCACAGCATCAATCCAGAGCGCCAACCATGTAAGGCCCCCCAGAGCTGAGCTCAGCCTCTTCCTGGCAGCCCACCCTGACTCCCCCACCCCAGCGGTCTCATCATCTGTCAAGAGACACCATGAGGACCCCCAGAGCTGCTCAGCGTCTCAGCTCTGGAAGGCCCCGGATGTGAAGGAGCAGATTGCAGCAAGTCGCCCCCCCAGACTCGGGATCCAATCAGCTGCTAGGAGGGCGATGTGAAGGACAGATTGCAGCAAGTCGCCCCCCAGACTCAGGATCAATCAGCTGCTAGGAGGGCGGTGAGGGCAGTATTGCAGCAAGCGACCCCCAGATTGCAGCAAGCAAGCCGCCCCCCAGACTCGGGATCCAATCAGCTGCTAGGAGGGCGATGTGAAGGAGCAGATTGCAGCAAGTCGCCCCCCAGACTCGGGATCCAATCAGCTGCTAGGAGGGCGATGTGAAGGAGCAGATTGCAGATCAAGTGCCCCCCCCAGACTCGGGATCCAATCAGCTGCTAGGAGGGCGATGTGAAGGAGCAGATTGCAGCAAGTCGCCCCCCCCAGACTCGGGATCCAATCAGCTGCTAGATGAGGGGCTCCGTGAAGGAGCAGATTGCAGCAAGTCGCCCCCCAGACTCGGGATCCAATCATCAGTGCTGTGACTTTCGGGGGATCCTAGGAGGGCGATGTGAAGGAGCAGATGCAGCAAGTGGACCCGCCCCCAGGACTCGGGATCCAATTCAGCTGCTAGGGAGGGCGATGTGAAGGAGCAGATTGCAGCAAGTCGCCCCCCAGACTCGGGATCCAATCAGCTGCTAGGAGGGCGATGTGTGAAGGACAGATTGCAGCAAGTCGCCCCCCAGACTCGGGATCCAATCTGCTAGGAGGGCGACGTGAAGGAGAGATTGCAGGCAAGGCCACCCCCAGCGGGATCCAATGTGAAGGAGCAGATTGCAGATTGCAGCAAGTCGCCCCCCCGGACTCCATTTTGCCTCTGAATATTATCACCTTTATTTCTCACCCGTCTCCCTTCTCAATTCCTGGGGCAGAATTCCGACTCTGAATGAGGAGTTCTTCTATTTGAAGTTTATTGTGCTTAGATTTTACCGCCCCCCATCCCCCGCTCCCGCAATGTGCCGTCCTATTGGTTGATGACCCCGGTGTGGTTCTCTTGCAGGTTCTGTGGGGAGTGTTTGCAGCCGTGTCTCCAGGTGCCGTCTCCGCTCTGCCCGCTCTGCCGCATGCCTTTCGACCCAAAGAAGGTGGAAAAAAGCTTCCAATGTAGACAAACAACTCTCCTCATACAAAGCTCCCTGCAGAGGTTGCAGTAAGAAGGTAAGTCCAATGATTGTACGCCATGTCTTGGTGTGGAGGGCAGGTCCTGCTCCAGACTCAGATCTGTCATTTCTCTACATCTTATGTATGGTTATGGACCCCCCCCATACACCCAGGGCTCTGGTGATTGGCTGCGGACAAGCAGTCTGTGTTCTGGGCGTCCTTCCCTGGGCACATGCTGCCCTAAATGTTCCGAATTCAGACCTGTCCTGCAGTGCCAATGGAGGGCGCCCTCTGCCTGCCACCCACAGCTAAGCATCAGAGCCCCACACCAGAGCTAAACCCCAGTGTGCTGGTTGGTGGACCATCACTGTACCCGCTCTCCCCGGACCCCGCATTCCCTGTACCCGCTCTCCCCGGACCCCGCATTCACTGTATATCCGCTCTCCCGGACCCCGCATTCCCTGTATCCGCTCTCCCCGGACCCCCGCATTCCTGTATCCGCTCTCCCCCGGACCCCGCATTCACTGTACCCGCTCTCCCCGGACCCCGCATTCACTGTATCCGCTCTACCCGGACCCCGCATTCACTATATACCCGCTCTCTCCCGGACCCCGCATTCACTGTACCCGCTCTCCCCGGACCCCGCATTCACTGTAATCCGCTCTCCCCGGACCCCGCATTCCTATATCCGCTCTCCCCGGACCCCGCATTCACTGTATCCCGCTCTCCCCGGACCCCGCATTCACTATATCCGCTCTCCCCGGACCCCGCATTCGCTATATCCGCTCTCCCCGGACCCCGCATTCACTGTACCCGCTCTCCCCGGACCCCGCATTCACTATATCCGCTCTCCCCGGACCCCGCATTCACTATATCCGCTCTCCCCGGACCCCGCATTCGCTGTACCCGCTCTCCCCGGACCCCGCATTCGCTGTACCCGCTCTCCCCGGACCCGCATTCGCTGTACCCGCTCTCCCCGGACCCCGCATTCGCTGTACCCGCCCCGCTCTCCCCGGACCCCGCATTCGCTGTATCCGCTCTCTATGGCCGGCCTTCCCTCAGTGGTGATCCCAGCAGTCCCGACATTTCCCATTAGTCTGGAGACCTCCTTTTCAAGGAAAACATCTGAGAATAACATCCGGCTGCCATTGCTGACTTGCAGATGCTTCTGCCTGGCTTTCCTGGCCATCGTATGAGGACACAAATCCTCCGTTCATCTTCTGGGGGGTCTGGTCACAGATCCTCCTCCGTTCATTCTGGGGGGGTCTGGTCACAGATCCTCCTCCGTTCATCTTCTGGGGGGGGTCTGGTCACAGATCCTCCTCCGTTCTCTTCTGGGGGGGTCTGGTCACAGATCCCCTCCGTTCATCTTCTGGGGGGTCTGTTCTGGTCACAGATCCTCCTCCGTTCATCTTCTGGGGGGGTCTGGTCACAGATCCTCCTCCGTTCATCTTCTGGGGGGGGGTTCTGGTCACAGATCCTCCTCCGTTCATCTTCTTGGGGGGTCTGGTCACAGATCCTCCTCCGTTCATCTTCTGGGGGGGTCTGGTCACAGATCCTCCTCCGTTCATCTTCTGGGGGGGTCTGGTCACAGATCCTCCTCCGTTCATCTTCTGGGGGGGTCCTGGGGGGGGGGTCTGGTCACAGATCCTCCTCCGTTCATCTTCTGGGGGGGGTCTGGTCACAGATCCTCCTCCGTTCATCTTCTGGGGGGGTCTGGTCACAGATTCTCCTCCGTTCATCTTCTGGGGGGGGGTCTGGTCACAGATCCTCCTCCGTTCATCTTCTGGGGGGGGGGTCTGGTCACAGATCCTCCTCCGTTCATCTTCTGGGGGGGGGGTCTGGTCACAGATCCTCCTCCGTTCATCTTCTGGGGGGGGGGTCTGGTCACAGATCCTCCTCCGTTCATCTTCTGGGGGGGGGGGTCTGGTCACAGATCCTCCTCCGTTCATCTTCTGGGGGGGGTCTGGTCACAGATCCTCCTCCGTTCATCTTCTGGGGGGGGGTCTGGTCACAGATCCTCCTCCGTTCATCTTCTGGGGGGTCTGGTCACAGATTCTCCTCCGTTCATCTTCTGGGGGGGTCTGGTCACAGATTTCTCCTCCGTTCATCTTCTGGGGGGGTGGTCTGGTCACAGATCCTCCTCCGTTCATCTTCTGGGGGGGGGGGTCTGGTCACAGATCCTCCTCCGTTCATCTTCTGGGGGGGGGGGTCTGGTCACAGATCCTCCTCCGTTCATCTTCTGGGGGGGGGGGGGTCTGGTCACAGATCCTCCTCCGTTCATCTTCTGGGGGGGGGGGGTCTGGTCACAGATCCTCCTCCGTTCATCTTCTGGGGGGGGGGGGTCTGGTCACAGATCCTCCTCCGTTCATCTTCTGGGGGGGGGGTCTGGTCACAGATCCTCCTCCGTTCATCTTCTGGGGGGGGGGGTCTGGTCACAGATCCTCCTCCGTTCATCTTCTGGGGGGGGGGGTCTGGTCACAGATCCTCCTCCGTTCATCTTCTGGGGGGGGGGGTCTGGTCACAGATCCTCCTCCGTTCATCTTCTGGGGGGGGGGGTCTGGTCACAGATCCTCCTCCGTTCATCTTCTGGGGGGGGGGGTCTGGTCACAGATCCTCCTCCTTTCATCCTCTGGGGGGGGGGGTCTGGTCACAGATCCTCCTCCGTTCATCTTCTGGGGGGGTCTGGTCGCAGATCCTCCTCCGTTCATCTTCTGGGGGGGGGGTATGGTCAAAAAATCTTCAACACCATGCAGATGTTTTTGCTGGTAAAATCCTGCGATTTAGTACTCTGCAGCCTGTAAGGCATTGCTCCTGCGATCAGCGGATTGTGTGTGCAATGCCAGGCTCCTGCAGACTCTCAGACCTCCATACGCCCCGTACAGACACAGTTACTGAATTGCAGGAAGAATGAACTATGAGTGCTCACCGGCGCCCCCCGCCCTTCCCCCAGTTCATTGAGAACTACACCGCGTTCCAAATTATTCTGCAAATTCTATTTAAGTGTCACAAAGAGTAAATCTTTTGTTTTTCAGTGTAACTCATGGATGGCATTGTGTGTCAGGGCTCTTTTGATCACTGAAAACAATCTGGGACACCTGTGATAATTAGATTGGCCGGTGAGCCCAATTTCAGGACAAACTCCTAAAGGACGGCGTTCCCCATTATTAAGCAGAGCGCCATTTTCCAGCAATATGGGGAAGAAAAAGGATCTCTCTGCTGCCGAAAAGAGTGAAATAGTTCGATGCCTTGGACGAGGGATGAAAACATTCGATATTTCAGGAAAACGTAAGCGTGATCATCGCACTATGAAGAGATTTGTGGGCTGATTCAGAGCACAGACGGGTTGGTGCAGATAAAGGCACATTGAGGAAGATTTCTGCCAGATCCAGGCATCGGATCCAGAGAGCAGCTGCTAAAATCCCATTACATAGCAGCAAACAGATATTTGAAGCTGCTGGAGCCTCTGGAGTCCCACGGACATCAAGGTGTAGAGTCCTCCAGAGTCCTCCAACTGTGCAGAAACCTTCTATTCGGCCACCACTAACCAATGCTCACAGAAACGGCTGCATTGGGCAGGAAAATACATGAAACAGTCCTGTTCACTGATGAGTGCCGTGCGACCCTGGATGGTCCAGATGGATGGAGTAGTAGTGGATGGTTGGTGGACGGGCCCACCCTGTTCCAACAAGGCTGCGACGTCAGCAAGGCGGTGGTGGAGTCATGTTTTGGGCCGGAATCATGGAAACAGAGCTGGTCGGCCCCTTTAGGGGCCCCGAAGGTGTAAAGATGAGCTCTGCAAAGTATGTGGAGTTTATGACTGACCACTCTCTTCCCTGGTACAGAAGGAAGAACTATGCTTTCCGTAATACAATCATCTTCATGCATGACAATGCACCATCTCATGCTGCAAAGAATACCTCCGCATCAATGGCTGCTATGGGGATAAAAGGAGAGTCATGGTGTGGCCTCCATCCTCCCCTGACCTCAATCCTATGGAGAACCTTTGGAGAAAGTCATGGTGTGGCCTCCATCCTCCCCTGACCTCAATCCTATGGAGAACCTTTGGAGAAAGTCATGGTGTGGCCTCCATCCCCTCCCCTCAACCTCAATCCTATGAAGAGAACTTTGGAGAAAAAATCATGGTGTGGCCTCCATCCTCCCCTGACCTCAATCCTATGGAGAACCTTTGGAGAAAGTCATGGTGTGGCCTCCATCCTCCCCTGACCTCAATCCTATGGAGAACCTTTGGAGAAAGTCATGGTGTGGCCTCCATCCTCCCCTGACCTCCAATCCTATTGAGAACCTTTGGAGCATCCTCAAGCAAAAGATCTATGAGGGTGGGAGGCAGTTTACATCCAAACAGCAGCTCTGGGAGGCGATTCTGACATCTTGCAAACAAATTCCAGCAGAAACTGTCCAAAAACTGCCAAGTTGAATGGATGAAGACTTGTGATCTGCTATCAGATAAGGGCTCCTATGTTACAATGTAACGTGACGCTTCAAATGTTTACAAAGTTACAATGTTGGCAAAAGTTGGATTGAAATAGCTTTTGATTTCAGTAAATTTGCTGCAAACACAACAAATGACAATTTTCAGTTCTTTACAACCTAGAAAAGTGTTTGGGAACTTCCTGTGCGGAATAATCCGGAACACAAATCCTGTTATCATTAGGAGGTTTGTTCAATAAAATGTGAATTGTCCTCTTCTAGTTGTCACCTGAGAATTCTGCCGACTGATATTTACATCAATTATTGAGGGAAAGGAGGAAATATCATCTGCAGAATCATTTGGAACGCGGTGTACAAGCCTTCCACCACAGCGGCCGGTGGTACTTGTAGTTCCTTCATTTACAGAACTCTGAGTGAATGGCGTTCCATGTGGGCGGTTCTCATACTCACAATGGCTCAAAGGGCCCCAGTTGGTATGTGAACTTATTGCTGGATGATGTGTGGTGAACGCACCGGATTCCAGGAATGTGGAAGTCTGCGGTTTACACTGAGCCCCTCCCCCGCTGTTCCTCCTTCACCTGTACACTGGTAGCAGGAAGGCCTGGTGTTGGGTGTCAGTGGGGGGGGTGTCAGGCAAACAATCTTCCTTGTTGATCCAAATGTAATTGATAATGTCTTTCATCTGATGTGTTGATTGTATGATGTGTGTCCTACACAGGTAACCCTCGCAAAGATGAGATCCCACATTTCTTCATGTGCCAAGGTGCAGGAACAGATGGCCAACTGCCCAAAGTTTGTTCCCGTTGTCCCAACGTCTCAGCCCATTCCCAGGTACAGCTTCCCATCAGCGGATCGCAGAAAATCCTGCGCCTCCATTGTGCAAAAAACGTTTTCTCCTGTTATAGTGTGAATGTGTGACGTCATCTGACAATCGGAGGAATCTGGAGAGTAATGCCCGGAGGTCCTAGTATTTACCCCTCACAGGCACTTCTACCCCTCCCTGCCTACCGGGCACTTCTACCCCTCCCTGCCTACCGGGCACTTCTACCTACTTCTACCCCTCCCTGCCTACCGGCACTTCTACCCCTCCCTGCCTACCGGGCACTTCTACCCCCTTCCTGCACCCACCAGCCACTTCTACCCCTCCCTGCCCACCGGGCACTTCTACCCCTCCCTGCCCTCCCACCGGGCACTTCTAACTGTCCTACCTATCCACCCTGCCCTGCCCGGGCACTTCTACCCCCTCCTGCCTACCGGGCACTTCTACCCCCCTCCCTGCCTACCGGGCACTTCTACCCCCTCCCTGCCTACCGGGCACTTCTACCCCCATCCCTGCCTACCGGGCACTTCTACCCCCTCCCTGCCCTACCGGGCACTACCCCCTCCTTCTCT